TTTGGAAATGAGCAGAGCAGGTTTGGCCCGGTGGGGGGATGTGGCAAAGTGGGAGGTGGGGGCGAGAAGGCCAGGCTTCTTTGGCACCCGATTTGCAGGGCACAACAAGACCAGCGGACCAGAGCAGGCTGAGATAATGGGGCAGGAGGCCCTGTCATCCCTATTTTGCAGGCTGACCCTCACATCTTAGGAAAGAGCAAAATTAGGTGACTCGGCACATTGTGAAAGGGACACCCAGGGGTGGATGGACCTCCCACTTGGAGCTTCTGCAATGACTGGAAAGGAAAGGAGACTGAGGGCAGAGGCCAGGTGTCAGAGGCCTTAGCTTGTCATCTGCACTTGGGGGCTGCTGTGAGGGGTCAATGAGGGAACACAGGTCAGGTCTTTGGGAAGGTGCTCAGCGAGTTCCAAGTGCCCCGTGACGTTCGCCACTGCCGTTGGTGCTAGTTTTATCATGAGGGGCTACAAACTGCTTTCCCTACCTCTGGTCTCTTTGTAAAAAAAAAAAAACACACTAAACCCTAGAAGCAAAACCAGAAATGTAGTGGGAGAAATCCAATCCTAAACCTGAAATGTCACTTTCATTAAAATGCAACATAATGTCATCCCCAGAACAGCTTCTCATCCACATAAATGAGTTTGTTCGCCACATCTTTGCTTTTTAAATACTTCACGGGTCCCACTGGAGCCATTACAGAAAGGCCCACATGTACTATTATAAGGAAAGCACCTATTGTGCTTTATCAGGGTTAATTGTTGGTATGGGGCACTGGGCGCCCTCCAACGCCTCTCTTAGTGTGTGGGAGGGGGTTTGCCTGCCCAGTTCATGCATCACCTACCTGCTTGTTCGTTTATTCATTCTTCATTCATTCATTCACTCATTCATGTGATCTACTAAACATCTGCCCTGTGCCAGGCCCTGTTTCAGGACACTGCAGCATCAACACAGGAAAGAATTGGTAAGCTAGCGATGCAGGACAGACTATAGACAAAAAGCCATCAGAAGCACTGATGGAAATCAGGTGGGGTGCAAGGCAGAGGACGGCTGTGTGGTGTAGGAGGCCTGCCTGGGGGTTGGCTACTGGGACCTACAGGGTCGGAGGGCATGATGACTGATTCAGCACTGGAGAAGAGAGAGAGGCAACAATAAGGCCCTGAGGCAGGAGCCCCTCAGTAGTCAACATGGGTCTCAGCAGTTAACTAACCAATTTAATATTGCCAGTCTGCACGCAACACACCCTATCCCAGCCCTCTTGGTTGGCAGACCCTTGTCACATCCATGGGAACTTGCCTCCATGGCTGCTTCCCTTCCCTGCAGGCCTGCCCCCCACCACCTGTCATGCCACAAAGTGGAGGGGAGAATGGACACACTTGGCCCGGGAGCCCTCATCTCTCAGTGTTGACTGCTTGGCTTTCTGACACCATGAGTAGAAAGTCCTCTGCCTCCTCTTTGTCAAGTGGGAAGAGCCCTCTTCAGAGGATTGTTCAGAGGTTCACAGAAGACTGGAAGAGGAGACTCGGTATAAAATGTGGGGAACCACCCGAGCACAGCCTGTCTGAAACTGGGGCAGCCCAGAAGACTGAGTGGTATCTGTAAACTGATGTCATTGCTGCTCCCTCCCAGATACAATACAACCTTGAAGGTTTCTCCCCTACCTCCTTTAAAACATGCTTGCATGCAACTCACACAGTTGCTAATTAATCTTCTTTTTAGCCAGTGAGGCCTCTGCCTTTTTTTATTTTTAATTTTTTATTAAGGTATGATTGATATACACTCTTATGAAGGTTTCAAATGAAAAAACAATGTGGTTACTACATTTACCCATATTATCAAGTCCCCACCCCTACCCCAATGTGGTCACTGTCCATCAGTGCAACAAGTTGAGGCCTCTGCCTTTTAACAGAGAACCAAATATTAAGCCAAAGAAATGGCTTTCTAAGAGTGGACATTTCAGCCACCAACTGACAGGTCCCAGGAGGGAATTTTTCCAGGGGGAAGTCTTCCCTGGCTTCCAGAGCACCTCAGGCTGCCCTTGCCCATTGCACAGAGAGGCTGACTGCCGGCCCTCCCCTGAACTGGGTGCTGGGTAGATCATCACCCAGAGGTCAACCAGTCAAGGAGGTGATGTTGATTCGCCTTTGGCACCTCGTCCAGCCCCAACTAGAGCTCCATTCATCTGATTCTCCCTGTCCTGTTTCGGGCACCACATTACATGGTCACTGGCCCATGCAGTGGCCTACTGAGAGGCCAGGTGCCCTGGGGGCAGGAGTACAAGGGTCAGCTTGGGCAATCGACAGGCTCTACCTGCAAAAGCCATCTCTGCCTCCTTCTCTCACCTAAGAAATGGCAAGGCCATCCCTTGCCTTCCAGGGGGTCATCTGGCCTCATGCTGCAGGGTGATAGGTGCTATTCTAGTGCCCTTCCCTACAGCTGACTCTCTCCTCCAGCCCTTCCCAGTGAGGACCGTCTGGAGCCCATTCCTCTCTGAGAAGGAGGCACAGAGAGCTCCTGGCTCCTTGGAGGAGGCTTTCAGAACTGACTTTGACTTTGATGGTAGGAAGCAAAAAATGAACCAAGGGGAGAGGGTGGCAGCTAATTTTGGATCAACAAGACCTTGCTTTGCCCTCACATCCCTTGTTTGGTGTCACTGCCTGGTGTCCTGTGAAACCTGTGTTCTTATTGCTCACCTCACAAGTCCTTTTCCCTCCCCAGCCTCCATGTCCCCTCTGGCAAGCCAGGGGACTATGCTGGGTGTTCTCAAAGGCCCCGCCTGCTCTAACACGCCTTCAGTAACCTGCTGGGGAGGGGACATGATGGGCTTTGTGAAAAACATCCAGCTGGTCATACCAACACTCCCCAGTTGGCTGATAGGAATAAGGGACTGGAAGCCCTAAGCATTTCATGAAATAAAGCAGCCCTTTTATCTTTAAGGGCCCTTTCTCTCAGCAGCTATGCCTTCCAAATTAGAGCCTATTTTCTCATTAGGTATTTTTAGAAAACCAGGACTATTTTAGCCAAGTATCTCAGCAAACCTCTTCAGATGTTTTCAGAGAGAGGAATTCCCAAAGAATTCTGCCCCCAATTCCATTAAGTCAGGGGTCACAGGCATGCGATGAAAACAGTAGGGTCACTATGAGCTATACATTGCCCAGGGAGGGCTGACCTGCCCCTGATCGTGGCACTGGGCGAGCAGCTGGGAGGCCCATATGAGGGCTGAGAGGCCTGGAGTCAGGATGCCCACACTCCTGGGGCTCCCTGGAGCACATGAGCTGACAGGCGAGCAGCCACTCTGCAACAGGGATATTTATGATTTGCAAATACCTTTTCCTACTCATTGACTTGCATTTTCATTATCTTAGTGGTGTCTTTTGATGAACAGAAGTTCTTAGTTCTAACAAAGTCATAATTTACTGTTCTTTTCCTTTGTGCTTAGGGCTCTTTGTACTATATTTGAGAAAATTTTTTTCATGTCCAAGACCAAGAAATTACTCTTTTATGTTATCTTTTCAAAGTTTTGTTACTTTACTTTACACATTTAGATCTACAATCCACCTGATTTGATTGTTGTATCTGCCATGAGGTAAGGTTGAGACTCATTTTTTAAAAGGTGAATATCCAATTGACTCAGCAGACTTTATGAAAGATCATCCATTCTGTCTTACTGTGTGGCAGTGTTTTTTTTTATCGCAAATCAAATAACTGACTATGTGTGGTCTGTTTTCTAAGGGCTCTCTTTTCTGTCCCACTGGTCTATTAGTCTGTGCTTACATACATCTCACACGGTCTTATTTACTAAACCTTCGGCATAAGCCCAGACAAATATTCTTATTCAACTTTGCTTCGGTCATTTAATTTTCCAGATAAATTATAAAGTTTGTTATAAAAATAAAGAAAACTCTACTGGAATTTGTATTAAAATTGTACGGGCTCTATAGATAACTTTGTAGATGACTGACTTTACAAGTATTAAGTCTCTTATTCCAGAAATATCTCTTTAGGATTCTTTTAATTTCTCTTAGTAACAATCTTATAGTCTTCAATTAAACTTCATTAGATTTATTTCTCTATATTTTTTAAAGAATTTTTTCCCCAAGCAGTTTTAGGTTCACAGCACAATTGAGAGGAAGGTATGGAAATTTTCCAGACACCCCACCCACCACCCCCCATTTTTTTTTTTTTTAGCAGGCTCTCCCCCTATTTAGGCTTTGCAAGCAGGTCCTGGCCTAGTATAGTGGGCTGTGCATCCAATGACAACTTAATTTCAGAGCCTTAGTGATATTATTACAGACTCGCAAGGTCTTCCACAGGTCCTTCCTGCTGCTGCCTGAAATTCCTTAGGATGGTCCTCCTACTGCCTATAGAATGCGGGAAGGAATCTCAGGTCCATGGATACAGAGAATGCTTCTATTCAGGCTAGGCTGCTTGTTGCGGTGTAATCCCTTTTGCTTGTACCGTCCAGCCACTGCAGGTGTCTGTCAGCATGGGAGAAGACTCTTGGGCCCACCAGGAGGGGGAAAGAATGAATCTACGTCGGCCATCTTCTGGTGTCAGTTTAGACAGCAGGAACATCCAGTTTAGATCTCCTGCTGGATGTGGGGGTAGTAAGACACTGTTGTTCCTCTAGTCCCAGGATCCCTAACTAGTCCCCCTCTCTCTTACTCCCTTTCAGAATTTTCCTTTGCTTGCCTCTTACATTAGTTCCAGAGTAAACCATTGTACTTAGCCAGAAGGAGAGAAGGGAGAGAAACGAGTTTAAGCTATCTTGTCTGGACCAGAGGTCCTTTCAATAAATTTTGAATAAAAGAATTCTTTGAATGAATGAGTGACAAGTCCATCTTGAATACAAGTTACTGACCTAAAGATAGCCAGGCTATAAAAAGGAAGGAGATCACAGACTCTTCGAATGGGCAGGATCTTAGACTCTGGTTTACCCTCCTTCACAAAGGAGATACCTTTCTACAGAGTACCCCAACATTTGGGCAGCCCACTTCCCCCCTACCTTGGGATCGTGAGAATTATCCAACTAGTGGCTTCCTTGTTGCCCTTGTTTCCTGGATATTCAAGGAGAACTTTATGCATCCATCATGTAGAGCTGGAAAGAAAGAAATAGAATTGCCTATTTTAATTTCTGTAACTAGTATATTTCAGGACAATGCATGAATAGCCAGTAAAGATGAAGACAGATTATTGATGAAAAGAACACAAGTAGAGAAGTGAGGAAGCAAAGCAAGCGAGCTTTTTAAACATTTCACTCCATCTCAACTAAAACAGGAAGCAGAAACCTGCCGTCCAAAGCAGGAAATACTAGGAAACACCAGCTGAGAAACTGCCCACTTGGCATCAGTGAGCCCCAGCTGGCCCTCTGACCCCACTCCTATTTGAAGTCAGTGACGCAGTCAAGCTTTCCTTTCCTGCACCTGAAAGAATGACTTCAGTCCAGACCGAATCCTTATTAGAAATGATGCGGTTATATTTAGACCCGGGCACGTAGTCTGCCTCAGCCTAATTGTTAGGTCCTTATTTAAGGAAATAGGGGGATGATGCTGACTAAGAGTCCACCTGGTATCCTACGAAAAGGAACCTTATTTCTCAGACAGCATGTTAATTTGGAGCCAGCTGCTACTGCCAATGATGAGTCTTGGCTCCTGCACTGCGTGTCCCAGGCTATTCACTGAATCTCCCTCACCAGAATACACCCACCTTGCCAGTGGAAGTGAGCCCGTGCCAAGCTGTCCCTGCCCTCACTGACTTACTTTCTCTGGAAAGCAGAGAACACAGCCAGATCCTGGGAGTCTGAATCTGGATTCTAAGGCATGTCTTTGGTCAAATTATTTCTTGGGGCTTTAGTTTCCCAACCTACACAAAGAACACTAACTCAGGCTCAAAAGGATTGAGCAAAAGGTTGTAAGTGCTGGCAGTAGGGAGTGCTCAATAAGTCCTAGCCTCCATATTATTATTATTAATTATTCTCAGAGTGCTCAAAGGCCTTCTATGTGTTGTTTCATCTGGTCTTAACAAATATGCTATGAGAGAGGTGTTACTGTCCCCTGAAAGCAGTAAGGCTCAGGATGGTTGGGTGAGTTGACAAGTTAAACCATTCAGCAGGGGAATCCAGGTCTCTTGGCTCCAGCACCAATGTCTGGGGGCAGTTGAGCAGATAGTGCACATCACACACGGCAGCAACAGCCCACAGCAAGCACAGCAATCAGCTGTCTACATACTTGTTCTTTCAATATGCATAACACCTATAGGCTCTGGGTTCCATCATAAACCACTTTTCAGATGAGGGGATCAAAGTTCAGAGAGATCACAGAAGGTGCCAGGGGCACACAGCTGAGTAAGGCGATGCTGGGCTGTCTGTCTGGTTTATCATGCTACAAACTGTACCCTCAGTCCTGTGCTGCTGTTTAGTGCCGCCAATTCCCAAGAACCACCGGAACCACATGCCTTATCAGTGTGGCCAGGGAAAGGAGAACAACTTATTTTTCATAGATTCCTTGGGATTCTCTATGTAGATAATCATGTTGCCCATAACAAGAGAAAGTTTTATTTCCTCTTTTCCAATGTGTATGACTTTTCTTTCTTTTTCCTGCCTTCTTACAGAGGCTAGAACTTCTAGTACTGTGATGAAGGTGACGTCTTTGCTCCAGATCTTAGAGAGAATGTATTCAGTTTTTCACCATTTGTTGCAGGGTTTACTGGGTGTTCTTTATGAGGCTGAAGGAGCTGCCCTCTATTCCTAGTGTACTGAGAAGTTTTTTTTTTCAATCATTAGTGGGTGTTGAATTTTGTCAAATGATTTTTCTGCATCAACTGATATGGTCATGTGACTTTTCTTCTTAGCCTGTCAATATACTAGATTATACTGATTGATCATCAAATACTGAATCAGTCTAGCATACCTGGCTTAAATCTTTCGTGGTTGTGGTATCTCATTCATCTTATACATTGTTGGATCTTATTGGTTAAATTTGGTTGATGATTTTTACATTTAAGTTCATGAGAGATATTGGTCTTTATCTCTCTCTCTTTTTTTTTGGTACTCTCTTTGATATGAGAGTAATGGTGGCCTCAAATATAGAATTAGGAAGTATTCCCATTTTCTGGAAGAGATTACATAGAAATAGCATTAATTATTCCTTGAATGGTAAAATTTTCCAGTGAAACCATCTGGGCCTGCAAATATATTTTAGGGGAGCATTTTAATTACAAATTCAGTTTCTTTAATAGTTATAAAACTGAAAAGACCATCCTATTTATCTAGGCTGAATTTCATTAGTTAGTAGTTTCTAAGGAATTGGCCCATTTCTTCCAACATGTTGAATTTATGAGCATAAAGATGTTTGCACATATTTTATTATCTTTTTAATGGCTACAGAATTTATTGTGGTAGCTCCTGTTTCAGTCCTGTTATTGGTGATTTGTCTTCTCTTTATCTTTGACAATCTTGTTCAAGGTTATTAATTAGATTTTTTTTTTTAAGAACCATTTTTCTGTTTCAATTATTTTTTTCTATTGTTTCCATCTTTAAATTTTATTGTTTTCTTCCTCTTTATTATTTCTTTCCTTCTGTTTGCTTTGAATTTATTTTGCTCTTCTTTTTAAAATTTCTTGATGTAGGTATGTAGATTAGTGACTTGAGATATTTTCTCTTTTCTAACATAAGCATTTAGTTCCATGCTTCAGCTGTATCTCACAAATTTTAATGTGTTTATTTATATTCTCATTCAGTTCTATGAATTTTTAAAATTTCCTTGGAGATAACTTCTTTGATCCATGAATTATTTAGAAGTTTATAGTTTAGTTTTCAAGTGTTTGGAGATTATCTTGTTGACTTGCTGTTTTGATTTCTTGTTTGCTTCCAGTATGGTCAGACAACACACTCTGAATGATTTTAATTCATTCTAATTTGTTATGGTTTGTTCTGTGACCTAGGATACAGTCTACCTTGGTGAATGTTGCATGGTCCCTTTAAAAGAACGTATATTGTGCTGTTTTTGGACAGAGCATTCTGTAAGTGTTGATTAGATCCTTTCAATTGATGGTGTTGTTGAGTTCTTCTGTATTTTTGTTGATTTTCTCTCTAGTAGTCCTAGAGTACGGAGTGGAGGGATTTAAGCTTCCAACTACAATTGTGGATTTGTCTTAGTTCTTTTTTTTAGTTGTCTTAGTTTTTGCTTCATATATTGTGAAACTCTGATACTTGGTTCACAGGAAAGCTGTATCTTAGTGGATCAGTCCTTTTTATTGTATAATTTCCCTCTTTGCCCATAGTAACTTTCTTTGCTCTTAAGTCTACTTTGTCTGATATTAACATAGCCACTCATGCTTCCTTTGGATTAATGCTTGTATGGCATATATTTTTCCTTTATTTTGCTTTCAGTCTACCTATGCCATTGGATTTGAAATGAGTTTCTTATAAACAACATATTGTTAGGTGTCGTTTTCTAATCCACACTCTGTCAATTTCTAGCTTTCAATTGGTATACTTAGACACTGACACTTAAGGTGTTTATTGATCTATTAGGTCCAAGACTAGCATTTTATTATTTGTTTTCTGTTTCTCATTCTTCTGTTTCTTTTTTCTTATCTTCCTGTGGGTCAACTGAATACTTTTTAGAGTTCCATTTTGATTTAATTATTATATTTTTTAGTATGTCATTCTTTTATTGGTTTCTTTGTATTATTGTTAGAAGACTCTGTTGCTGGGCAACCTTTGGACATGGGAGGAAGCTGCTGGGGTGGGTCTCCCTATGTCACTAAGTAGAGGCCAAGGAGACACAGGGTATCACATCACTGCTGCGCCTACTGGGAGTGGTCAGGCCACCCTCTGTGTCTCAGTTTGTGGGTAAAATTGCAATATTTCCAGAATCTCTCATCCAGCCTTAGTACATCTCCGTATCAATAGGTGTTTCCAAGGGGTGGAGAGAAGTAATCCATCTCTGTATCAATAGGTAATTACAAGGGTGAGAGAGGGCATATCTGGACTGGAGAAGTTGGGTGGGGTCTCTTCTTCTGCAGCCAGGTCGAGAGAGACATGGGAGAGCAGAAGTGGATGACTGCTTGTAAGAAATAAATGGTTTCCTCCCACTTTATTTCTCCCTTTGGCTGATTTCGGTTTCAAAGGTATTTTGCCCTGGGATTTTCCCCCAGAAGTTACAGAGTTACTGCCCAGGGCTTTGCTGGTACTGCAGCCACCAGTGGATTGAATCACCTGTGAGGACCCTGGGCTATAAAGTGGGGTCTAAACTTCCTATTGGGTATCTGTTGGGTTTCCCCTTCCCTGTACTTTGTTCAAAAAGAGCAGGATATTCTTGGGTTGGTTCTACTTTCTTTTTTTTGAGGGTGGGTTGAGGGGTTCTGTGCCTGTTGGTGATTCCAGGTTGCAAGCCTCTCCTGTGCTCAGAAGATTATTTCTCAACTCTTGATGTTTGTCACCAGTCCACCGTTTTTTCTTCCCGCTTTCAGAGTTCTTTTATCATAATCTGTTGAAGAGTTTCCAGGGTATTTAAGTGTATTTAGAGAAATGGAGCAGGCAAGTGAGTCTACGCCATCTTGTTCCAGAACCAGGAGCCAGGACAGCCTATTTTTTAAAATGTTTCAGATGCATTTTCTTTCCTGGTTGATTTTCCCAGAAAGCAGAAAAAATACTATCAATGGTGTTTCCAATGATCAAAACTACAACCTCTTGCTCTTTGGAAGGAATCAGTTGCTTTATCCAACAGTCACATTTCTCAGCCTGTTTTATATTTAGCCAGTGGGATATTGAATTCCTTTTGAAAGCCTAACTAGGTTATCGCTTCTTTCCTGGACCAAAAGTTGATTAGTAATGTAAATAGTTGTGTGTAACACAGCAAATGGTTTTTCTTTCCCATTCCTCACCCGGGGTCTTGAATGAAGAGGTTTTTTTTTCTTTGGGGCTGAAAGGCTATGACTGCATTCATCTAGAAATAGATTACTCAGGATGCACTGGAGCTTTATTACAAATATGTAGTTGCACTAGCAAAGACTGCTTATATCTGTGTTTTCCTTATTGCTCATCTCGGGTCCTTGCCTGACAATATAGGGTGGGCTTTCAGCCCAAGGACTCAC